AATACTCTATATTATTTTTTAAAAAAATTTCGTTTTGCAATAAAAAAATTTTCCACCGTTAAATTTACCATTTTCAAAATTGGTGAATTTTTTCTCTCATTTATTATTATTTTTTAACTGTTAATAAATATCTTCAATTTTCCTTCATAAAATACACAATTCTCCATATTTTCACTGTCGTTAATTATTTTTCGAACATTTGATTGCATCCGCACCGCAATATGTACGATTACTTGCCAACGACGATGTGTTAACTAACGGCACTTGGTTTTAAATATCAATAGAAATTGCACCGACATAACAATGAACCGTTATTGGAAATGCAACAGGACGAATGCTTTCCAGTTCAATTCGATGTGCATGTTTTCAATTGATCTACATATCTACATATCTACATACATACAGATGTACTCACATACATATCTATCAAAATACACATTCACATACATATATATACACATGTTCATATGTACATAAGGCGCTTGCATGCATAAAATAAAGGATTTTATCGCATTTTATAAGGGCGCTACCCAACCAATTTATTACAAGAAGTTACAAGCTGTTAAGTAGGCGTGTTTATGTATTCCTTTTTTTGGCTTGCATACCGAGCGCCATAAAATGCTTGAAGTAATTGTACTATACGTACATAGTCTACTATCGTAGACACCGCTTACGCGATTACAACCTACGTAGTGAACAACAGCGCGCGATTCATACCTTCTTTTCGCTATTTGACGCCAATTGGAAATACCAAGTACAACCAGGACCTTTTATACCTGGAGTGAAGGTCTAACTCACCCTCTGCCTCCACCGGTGGATACTGCTTGGCAAGAGTGATTCTGCATTGGATTTCAAGGCCGAAATTATTTTGGTATCAATACTGGCTCCAAGATAGGCGAAGTTATCTATTCTATCTTCAAAGTTATGACTGCCAAAAGTGATGCGGAAGTCGAGTCGTAAATGCGACGACTGTTTGTGTGATGACAGAAGATATTTCGTGTTACTCTCGTTCACTACCGGAGCTATTACTTATCCAGTCTGGAGAAGGCAGAACTCAAAAGCTCGGTTGTTGTGGCAAATAATGCCAATATCAGCGGCGTACATTAGCAGCCAGACACTCTCAAGGAAAATGGTACCTTTTCGGTCTAGCTCTGAAGCTCGTATCATTTACTCTAGCAATAAGTTAAACTTAAGAATCGTTTGGTAAGGCATAGCTCGGCGAAGAACTTTCTGCACCTGACGGAGATTTTAAATTTGCTTAACAACAGTTTACATAGCCACATAAGTTTGGCGGGCATGCCGTATACAGGCAAAGCCTCAGAGAGGCAGCTCGTTTTCGTGCTATCGAAGGCTGCTTCAAAATCGAATCAATCCGCATAGATAATGTTTGTCGATTCTCTTTTCTTGGGACTAAAGCCACATTGATAGGGTTCACTCAGTTTGTTGACGGTTAGGTTTAGTCTTTCACTGCTCGATGTAATCTTAAATGCTTTGATATTGTGGATGCTTATTCCACAGTAATTGGCACAGACTGTGGAGTCGATTTTTTTGTGGAATGGGCAGAGCACTTAAGTTCCAATCATCGGACAAGCTTTCAAACGACCACATTTTGCAAAAAAGCTGATGTATGCACCTTATGAGTTCTTCGCCTTGTTTGAATAGGTCTCCTAGCTATCTACTTTGTTGGGTTTTCAGCCGGTCGACTGTTATTCAAAGTTCTTCATCAAACATATATTTCATCATCATCGATTGAAGAATCGAGTTCGCCATCTCCTGATGTTTCAACTTCACTTACGTGCAACAGGCTGAAGAAGTGTTCCCTCCACAAATTCAGTATAATCTGGGCATCAGTTACTAAATTACCTCTCTGAGTCCTATAGAAGTTTGCTCCGATTTGGAAACCTTTAGTAAGATGGCGCATATTTTAATAGAATTTTCGAGTCTTACCCTTGTCTCATGGTTTCTCAAGCTCTTCATCCTCCTGCATCTTGGCCATTTTCCTTTTTTGTCTCGCTGCCCGCTTCAATTCTCGGTATCTATACCACCCCATACGTCGATCTCAACATTGCGATATAAACTGTCTTTTTCTCTCCACTGCGGCACACCAATCCTCATCCTACTAGGCGCTTTTGAGAACTTTTCCAAAACCACCTCTGCTTATAGGGCTTGAAATGTCACTCCACAATTCCCCTGTCATTCTCTTCAAAGTAGTCACCTTGGGCAGCTATTATGGAACGCTTTGACTGGGATGTCCGCGAGTACCCTCGTCACGGTCGCCTGGATGTCCTCAATCGACTCAAAATGGGTTCCTTTGGCCAACGTTTTTGTTCTAGGGGAAAAAGTCACTGGGTGACATATTGGGCGAATAAGGCGGTTGTTGCAACACGGTGTTCCCTTTAGAGGCCAAATACTGAGAGCGATGTCTGGGCGGACTCGTTTTTGCAATCTTTCGAATACTTGGCGATAGTTGACCTGATTTACGCTTTCCCCCTGTTGGAAGAAATTCTTTGTGGATGATTCTACGGTTATCAAAAAAGACAATAATCATCATTTTCAACTTTCACTTCGTATCTTGTCCTCCACGCTTTCACGCTCCTTCTTAAACTTTTAATGCCATTGAAACACCCGGGCACAACTTAGAGTACTATCACCATGCATCTTAACAATTTTAGCGTTTCCGAAGCTGCTCCGCTCATTTTGGCGCAAAATTTTATTGCGACGCGTTGCTTTTGATTTCGTTTTTCAATTTTCATGTCGAGCACCACGAACACACGTTTACTCGACACAACACATTAGCCGAACTAAACAAGCTAAAGCGATATATCAATGGAGAATATAAGGATGCCAGGAAAAGGGAAAGAGAAATTCAAGGTCGCAGGGTTACTACATTCGCGGCAATATAATCAGTCTCATTACTTTATTGTCACACCTCGTATATATGATTTTTTCTAGAAAAGAAATATAAAAAGCAGGCTAAAGATGGTGATCAGGTTAGAAATAAGCAAGTATACTAAGAGTGCTTTTCGATCCAAACCGAGTAGAAAGAGATTAACTGACCACAGATGGACTCCTACTAGAGATGTTGTCAAGTAAGTTGTCAGTAAAAATATCATTGACAGGCAGATGAAGGTTTAAGTCGCCACAAATTATAACAAAGTCATAAACTACAAAATTTGTAGACATTACAAGAAAAAAAGGAATGACCGCATCGGATCTGTGAGGATTGTACACACAAGAAACAAGAGATCGGAAATTTCGACTATTAGCATTGCGAACTGCCATTCCAAAGACCAGGGTTCGAGTCCTCGTTCGAGACCACCATCCATTTAGTAGTAAACGGCCGGAATTGTGGGCCAACAATTTCCGAAGACTTTAATAATGATAATCCGCCATCGCACGGAGCTGTAGTTGTGAATGATTTTAAGACCCAAAACTTGTACACTACCATCGATCACCACCGTATTCACCGGATTCGGCACCATGCAACTTTTTTTGTTCCCAAACGCTAAACTACCTTTCCGTGGAACCCGTTTCGACTTGATTAAGGTCGTGCAAGAAAATTCACAGATTCAACTGAGGCCGGCTGATTTCCACAACAGGTGCTAGCAAACTGGATTACAGAACGCGCTCATTTTTGGCATAGTAATTACGGCTAGTGCTAACAGCTTAACAAAAAAGTGCTGACAAATGTTCCCACGCTGAGATTAAATTACCATTTCCGGAAATTTTCTGGTCTAATTCTAACACGACAATCAAATCTCCTCATAAAAATTCATCAGCAGTTCGGAGACGGCTCAGAATAAAATGTAGATATCTCCGTTTGTTAGAAAATCATCAAGACGCATACTACAAACTAGACGAGGAGCTCGGCAAAAATAGCTTCAGTGTACTCAAAGGCACGAATGTGGCGACGACGTTCTCCAGAACTGGTACTTTTTACGTCACTTTAAGGCAATCGAGCCTACACCACACCTAGATCCATATAAAGTCCGACTCATCCAACTACTGAAGTCAGCGGACTATTCATAAGGCCTTACATACTTCGATTGGGTGTTTGAACAATTATCTTTTTTAGCGACAAGTTCCATTTCTCCCTCATTGGACACGAAATGGTTGCACTTGTCCATAGTCCACAGCCTAGTGCGCTCTTTGATCTGGAGCTGTTATTGGACCATATTCGATATTTATTTGAAAATGACAACGGCGAGACTATCACTGGCAATTGGGAGCGTTATACTCGTATGATAACTGACTTTTTGTGGCCTGCAATTGAAGAATATGACTTGCACCGTATGTGGCTTCAACAAGATAGTGCCACATGCCACGCAACTCGAGTGACTATGCCTTTACTGCGAAAAAAGATTCCTCCGCCGCGTAAACTCTCGTATTGGCGATGCCATTTGGCCATCGAGCTCGTGTGGTTTGACATCGTTGGATCTTCTTTTGTGGGGCTGCGCAAAAGATAGTTTTTATGCGCATAAATCTTTAACTCTTCAGCACTTGAAAACCAACATTCGCCCAGTTATGGCTGAGCTAACGCCCAATATGTGTTAAAAAATGCTCGAAAACTACCTTCAGCAGATCGAAATTTACGAAAATTCAAATTCGGTGGGGCGTTCATTTGAATGATGTAAAGCTTCACATATTAATTAATGTCAAGGTTCAAACTTTATCGTAAAGAAAAAAGAAATTCATGGAAAAACTATTTTTTAATTTTTTTTTTTATTTACGTGTATTTTCTAAAACGCGAAATGGATAACCCTGTATAAGTAGTAAAGATCGTTGCTGTCCACTTTCTGCTATACACTTTGATTTGCACACGTTCTTCTTCGCATACTCTTTATGCTTATATGAGACATTTTATTGAAGCTCAGTCTACCTCTACGTCTTCCTCTCCTCTACCCTTTTCTTTAGTTTTTAAAAGCTTTACACACAACCGCAAGCATTTTCTATACAAATATCAATAAAATATCATTGTGCTATTGTCAGTTGCAACTCACCTCGCCGAGCAGCTGGGGCTGAGCGCGAAACTCAACAGAACCACCTGATGAACGTCTTGGCTTACTCATATCCAAACGCAAAATGCCTGGTGGACGCATACGACGACGCTCACCCGTTGCCTGCAGTGTTGGCGGTGTTGGCAGTGTTGGCAGTGCGGGCGGCGCTGGTGGTGGTGGTGGTGGTGGTGATGTAGAGAATGAGTAGGAAGCTGCCACTTCGGTTGCATTCTCCAACGTCTTGGCTAAGTCTATTGAAGCCGCTTGTGGTGATGAATACGTCGATGGCGTGGCGCCGCTAATTATGGCAATGGCAGCGTTGTCGATGGCATTGCTGGCAGTCGGCCTACCGCTGCCGATGTTGGAAGCTGCGCCGTTGCCATTGTCTGACAGTAGAGCCGCAACAATATCATCGATTTTCGCTTCAACCTGTTGGCGGCTCATGTGACTTGCTGTTTTCACTTCAAATTTTTTTTGTTGGAATTTCCCTTAAGAGTAGAGTTTGTGTTACTTTAGACCCACTCACTAGACCGTCGAGCTCGCTGGAGAGCACGAGAATTGGACACGTCCGTCTTGCACCGTATTCACGACCGAACTATGCTGCTAGTAATAATTAACAGGCCGCAGCCAACTGGAAAATAAGCAGCGAGTGTAGTCTTCACACTGGCAAGTCCAACCAAATTGGCGCTGTCAAGTACTAGCAGCGCATGCATACATAAATACTCGGTTGTGTGTAGATGGCGACAAATTGTTGCTTCGCCTGGGGTCGCGCTGGCCTACTCACTGCTGACTCCGCTGTGGCTCGCGCGCCGCGTCCTTTATGAGGCGCAATAACATGTTTCACTTGTCTCATTTCACTTGTCTCCTTGTCTTTTGCCACTTTACTGTCGTTTTTATTTCGCTGTGCTCGCAGTTTCTGTCCATTTTTTTCGCCATTTCTGTCCGTGTGCTGACGTTTATCCCAGTCATTCATTGTCATTCACTTAGAAGTGCAAACAACAGCCTGGCTAAAGCACCGTGGAATGAGTGATGATGGGGCGGACGTGTAGGTTGAGCCTCAGGTGGGACGGTACGTACTCGCATGGTGTAACTGTGCTACGTGTGTGTGTGTGTGTGTGTGTGTGTGCTTTAGGTGTGTTTGAGGTCATAAATAGGCGTTAACGTGTGCCACAAATGCGTCGAACCCACTTACATGGAACAACGTGGCGTACTTTAGAGTGGTTTTGTGGACAGTAAACAAAAATTTGAGATACAAGCAAATACACTTACACATATGCAATTACATCAACACACGTAATATAAGTACAATACATGCATATTTGTATTTGTAAGTATGTTTGCTTGTGTAAATTTGCATTGTAAGAAATCGCGTGCAGGAACTTTTTCATACTCCCGGAAATTACCGATTTTTGTGGAAATTCCTTGCATCCCAACAGGAAATCGAAGGAAAATCCAATCTAATAAACAATTTTAGAAACCCAAAAATATAGCTTTTATAAATAAGAAAATTATTTGTCTCACTTTTGGCCGCAACAAAACAAAAAAGTGGAGGTATTGAGACAGGCTATGGGTTGGCATACTTGGCAGGGAATGTCGCACCAACCGTATATGCTTTTGACTCGAAACAAAGAACTCTTGCGACAATTCCATTAGGCATTATTGGGCATAGAAAAACTGCATTAACTGAGTTCGTTGTGATCACACCGAGAACCAGCATTTAACCGACACCTTCCGATGGAAATTTTCATCTGCCTTTTAGAGGTTCAGATACAGCCACTACACTAAATTTTATCAGCTTGATCCGCTTTGCGTATTGGAGTAGATGCCGAGAGCTGAAGAGGGAAACAGACCAAGAAAAAAGAAAGAGACCGAAATGTCCAAGTATGAAGAACTTGAGAAGCTGAGCGACAAAGGTTATGCTCGAAAATTCTATGACAGAATATTGCAAGACCGAGGCAAACTCAGATCTAGTCACTGATGCCCAGAATATACTGAATTTATGGAGGGAACACTTCCCCGCTCAGCAGAATGGTCATGAAAATGAAGCGCCAGGTGTTGGCGAAACCGATTACACAATTTATGACTGGGGTACAGATGATACGAGTATAATGACTATCAAAAAACCCATCTGAAAAACGACAAAGGTCTTTGGGCCGATGGTTTCTTATAAGGTGCTTGCATCAGCTTCTACGCAAAATGTGGTTGGACGAAAGCATATCCGGTGGCAGTGTAGTAACAGCGACTGATACATCCCATATATCCATACGCTGCCTTGATTCACTCTGCCGACATCACAGTCACCCTCCTAAGGACACAGAAATTTGACTGTGGAAGCTTAAAAATAATTGTTAACTCTGGTATCGCAGCGCAAGTGGACGATCTATCACTGATCCGATGGTTACAACGTCCAATGCGTTGAATGACGAAGATGAAGGTTCGTAATGCTTTAAAGCTTTAATGGGGTTACTGTCTCTCACTTAGCCTTTTCAGAGTTTTAAAAGTTTTTTTTACGGTGCACCACTTGGTAATAATTTCGTTTAGGTGTTAAGTACGCATGCTTGTGAAAAGATCTTATAACAACGATAAAACTTAGACCTGAATAAGACTACTTATGATGCCTTAAGAACTTTACCATTAGGCTTCGATACCAAAACATTTTGAATCTGGAACAAACTTCGGTAGACCATTCAGCAGTAGGGTTATAATATGCTCTACTCAAAGCAAGCCTCTCTGATGTAAGATGAGTGATAATTTCCTGCGTTTCGTTATATTTGCAGCTTCTGCAATATCAACAGCATCTTCTATAGAAGGATCGATCAAAATCTTCCACTGATGACGTCGCTGTAAATCTGGTGAAGTACAAAATTGACAAAGATCCACGAGGGATACATAAAATGATTGCCAGTGAATTGGGCTGGAATGTAATTATTGTATTGTGGATATTCAGTAATCATCTGGGATAAACGAAGAAATCGGCTCGATGGGTACCACGAATTTTAAATGAGGCTCAAAAAGATGCTCGAGTGTAATTTGTTCAATTTAAAAAAAAAATAATAATAATAAAAAAAATCGAAAATGGTCAGACTAATCGGTCCCGTAAAATCTAAGTAACAAAAACCAGCAGCAAAAGTAATGAAGTCAGTTGACTTCACCCAATCTAATATCGTAGCTGCTATTCCACTGGGAAAATGGTCCGACGGTAACTACAAAATGGTACAACGAAGTGTGCTTACCAAAAGTTTTCAAAAATTCGTTAGAAAACAGGGAGAAAGAAGATTTGCGTCGCTACTTTTCTCATCAATGCAACGCGCCATCCTACACTGCTGAAATGCGAGTAATTTTATTGTGATCCCTGAGTTCGAAGAAATACGTCCGGCACCATATTCGCCAGATACAGCGCCTTGGGATTTATGTTTTTTTTTTTCCAAAAATTAAGGTCTTCAATAGCAGCGAGAGGATAATTAATGCGGTTAATGCTGAGCTTGATAAGCTTGAAAAGCAATCTTTCGAAGACTGCTTTCAGAAGTGGTTCTATAGGCTAAAGAAATGCATTGAAATCAATGACGATTATGTAGAGAAGATAAAAAAGGAGAAAATTACTAACAAATACAAATTGATTTTTTTTCTGTTAACTTACCGAACTCTTGTTGATCCCTCTTATGTCGTCGCATCAGACAGTGGCTTCCTATTACTTTGGACATTTGTGCCTTTTTTAAAAGAGTACATATTTCGTGATATTTTCTTCGAAGTTTTGGCCAAATTTGACTAGATTCGCGGTAGGTTGTAGTTTCATTAAACCTTAATGCGGCTTTGTTTATATTTAAATTCCTTGAGAAGCAGCTTGGCGTTAGCAAAGGGACCACATTGGTAGTAATCTTTAGCGAGAAGTATCTATGTGGTCGTACCCTGCCTGGGAAATTCATTTGGCTATAGTTGGCCCTCATGTCCTTTTAACCAGAGACTACAATATGTTCTGTTCTGTCCACTTCCTGTACAGAGATGTGCCATAGTCCAGCACAATTTGGAATTTAAGGGTTTACATCTAGTTAGAATTTTCAAAAAATCGATTTTTATAATCTATTTTTCTTAATACTGTGAAAATTTCTAGTAGATCCGACTATTATTTTGGAAGTTACACGCATATCTATAACGATCCAATGCACATTCTATGCCGAAAAAGAGAATGAATGACGCGTAACGACCTCCGGACGCAGAGCGCATGAGAGCACGCGAGAGGTAAGAACGGGGCGTAGACAACACGAGATCGATGTTTTGGAAGCTGCCGAAGCCGCAGATGCTAAATTATGTGGCCTTGAAAGAGATGACTCGTAAGTGGAAAGTGCAAAAGCTTTTGAAACTTTAACCTCGCTGTTTTCAAAACTTTGTTTTTCTATTAGGTAACCAGGCTTTCTCGGGAACGGCTGAATCGATTAGACTCAAATCTTTCCACGGTTGTCTGACAATATTTTCTAGTACTTAATAGATGGTTTTTTATTACCGATGAAATTTTTTTAAATGCGCAATTCAAGACCAAAATTATGGAGAAAAATTTCATTTTTTTTTTGAGAAGCCGCCATTTTGTCAAAACAATTTTTATGGCTTATTTCTTCCGATAATTATTACTTGCACGAAATCCGCAGCTTCAAAAACTATTATTTTTATGAAGAAAAAAAAGGCTGATTACTCTTCAAGGGCGCCATAATATGAGGTCCCGTAAAAAGTTCGCTCGGTTCTTATCTAAGAGATGATGTTATAGTGTTATTATACTTGTCTTTAAAGCTGGATTTGATTCGCTTTACGCCATTACAAAACAGCGGATATCTCCGCCTGAAAGACCTTGCAGCCTGAAAGACCTTGCAGCCTGAATGGTGCCGCATGTATATTTCCAGACTGCCACCTGAAGTGCGGTAATTTTGCTTCAATTCAGCTGCTGGGAACTAATTTTTTTAAAGAAATTCTCAGTGAACGCAATTGGATCGCATTGATGTGTTTAGCATAGAATCGTATCTATCGAATATTTTCGAGCGCCATAATAGCTGAGTTCTTTGATCCCTTGATTTGATGCTCTTAAACGAAGCGCGGCTAGTCCTGCTCACTGACCAGTAACTAAATTACATTTTACCTAATCCATTCCAATCTAGTTGCTAAGATTCTTAGTAATTACCACTCAAAGTTAGGAAATAAGATTCTCTCTGGAGTCACAGTTCCGACCGTATTTACGAAAGATGTAGATAATTTGTAGATCTCTAGGGTGACCAGAAAAATAGTTTTTTATGCCAAAAGCGTCTTTCCAAAATAAAAGGATATACGTTGTTTGCTTTCAAAGCAATAAGATCCAACTACACCTGCGGACTAAAGATCGCACCTAACAGTAAGTTCTATTTCCTGGTGTAATGGCCTTTCTGCAATTATTTGAGTGTACTCAGATGAGCATGTATACCTTAATCTCCCCTTGAAGCACGAAACATGGCCACATAAGCGAACCATTTTCATAAATTCCTGACATTTAACTAAAACAAAACATGATTGCTTTGGACGGTTAAGTTTGACAGATGTCAAGATACAGCCCTATACTTCTGAAACTACGAAAAAGAGATCTCTAAACAATACATTGGATTGTCTTAGAACAGCAGTGGGATCGCCC